TTACTAGTAGCGTGGCACTCGTTACTACTAGCTTCTTGTTACTACTAAGATGGCTAGAAGAAGGGAATTCAGAGCAAAGGAGGCTTCTCGGCGCCAAGACGCAGGTGTTCACGTGTTTGCCAAGCCATGCGGCTGCCGCTGGTCGTTGGTCGTTCTTCTGAACGTTCCGTCCGTTCGTTTCGTTGAGGTTCTCTGGATCCAATGGTGGAGCAATCATCCAAGGTGGCACGGGAGCACGCCGTCAGTGGGGGGGGAGAAGCTGAGGTGTGTTCTTTTTTTTCTCCAACACAACAAAAGTAGGTTGGAGGCCATCGCCACTAGGTTTTGAGGCCATTGCTATAGTGAAATATAGTGAATTTGTTGTGAATGACTGAGTCATAGACAGGCGGATTTATACATCGATATGATATGAATGCATTTGTGACATTGATTTGACTAAAGGCATCCCACGTGTGTGTGATAGATATCGATTTGTGTGCCTCAAACCAAGCCAGCGATGCACGCACATTCGCAATCAGGTTGGTACATCTATGTGTCTACAGATGGAGAGACCTGGCCAGCGGACACATCGCCCTCAGATGTCATCGCAGATGTGAACACGATGCAGTTGGGTCCCCAGTTCGCACCGTTCGTCCAAGTGAAGCGCCGTTGGAAAACAGAGCACGTCGAATCCTCAACGTAGCATCACTCGTAGCAGCGCGATCGGTGTTTACGAGCGAGCGACAGGGTGCACGCGATCGGTGGAACAGTGTTTCAACGAACGTGTTCCTTCTGTCGATAGACACAGACCCAGTGTTCATCAGTGTTCCAACCTGTTTCGTAGACCTTCTTTCTACTAGTTTCTTGTTACTACTAGTAAGGCACTTGTTACTAGAAGCGATGCACTTGTTCCTAGTAGCTTATTGTTCTAATTATTGTTTTCAACATGTGTTCCTTCATGTTTTCCTTCATTCTACGCTCGATGACTTTGGGAGTCGTCGAAGTCACGTCTCCGCTGAGGTATCAAATCACATGTGCCACATACTCTGCTGGCCAGAGCGTGCTGTGGGTCTGGGCACTTAAAGTCAGGTCGAAGTAACGATTAAAATACTCATTCTTTGCATCCTAGCAAGGACGCTATTAGGTGGACATCGCTAGTAGGTTGGAGACCATCGCTACTAGTAGCCAATAGCTACGAACGTAGCTTCTTGTTACTCCTCATTAATTGTCTTTGCTGCAAATTTGTGGATAGAACCAGATTGCCCTTTGCCCATCATTTGGGAAGCCTTCAACCAGAAGCAAACCCACATGTTTCAGCCGATTTGCAAGGTGAAAGTGGCTGGATACAGTCTGGCAGGGATTGGCACGCTCTCGGTCTATTCCTCAGCGAAGTTGGTGTTTGAAGGTGGGAGCTTTTGACCTGATCCGACTAGCTCATCAGAAACTACTCCGGGTTCCATCAAGCAATTTTGTCAAAGCCTCCATCTGAATGATTCGACATGCCTTCCATAAGTGCTTTCCACTAGGGTGGAGGCTATCCACTAGGGCAGGTTGGAGGCCATGCAGATTCCGACACCAAGGGTACCTTGGCTTCACGCTGCTCTGCAGTGCCGGACACCCCGGCGCAGCCCAGCATCGTCAGCTCCAGCTCCACGCACATCACCATTGGCTGGCCGGGAAGTCCCAGAGGGTTGGGCACCGTTCGAACACGTCACTTGTTGGGCATGAATGCACAGATTTCATGCATATAATAGAACTAGACTATAGTCACATGATGTCACAGCACCATGTCATTGGTCCTAAGATGCCTAGGCCCTCTAGGCTTTCTATCCCAGTTTCGGAATGATTGTGCTGAAAGAAGGTAGATGCGCCAGACAATCAGTTCGATGTCCCTACTCTCCACTCTCTTTTTGAAGAGTCAAGAATAGAAGCTTATTCTGGGACCCTGACACCCCGAACGGTTTGGGTATTCCATTTTGTTGTTTGGATTATTCAGTATAGCTTCTTGTTCCTACTAGTAAGGCCAGGAGCTACTAGTAGCTTCTTGTTACTAGTAATAAGGTGTCTTGCTACTAGTAGCGTCCTTGCTGCAACTGTTCATTCACATGCGTGGTGCTTGGCTTAGCATGGCGTCCTGCAGCGCAGGACGGCACCAACGGCCACCGAGCTTCACAATGCCTTGCATCAGGGCACCAAGGAGCGAACTTTCAGCTTTGGCATTCCATCGTTCTTGGAATTCCAGTTCGATTGCTAGTAGGTTGGAGGCCGCCGCTATTTAGTAGCCCAGCAAAAACTGAGTTCAAGTTCTTCGCATTCACTGCACAGGTTCAATTTGACGATGGAGCCAGCGGTCCCTTCACCAGCGTCATGCTGACGGACACGTTGCAGGTGCCGAAAACTGGCTCGCATCACTAAACTGGTCCATATTTGGGTGGAGAAGACAGCAGCTTCTTTTCGATGCAACCAAAGTACACAGGAAAGTCATCTTAAAGGTTAATCTAGGCAATGACACAGTGTTTGCAGAGTCACACGATTTTTGTGCAGGTAGAGTATACGAAGACTGGGGTCTCTGCTGGTCAAACATACAGGCGCGTTTTGACACCGAATGGAATGAAAGCTGGACCTGGACACCATGAATTGCGCAGAGAAAGAAGCTTTTTCTACTAGGTTGGAGGCCATCGCAAGTAGGTTGGAGGCCATGGCTACTAGGTTGGAGACCATGAAACGCGCAGAGAAAGACGCTTTTCATGCTTTTCATGCTTTCCTTGGGTCTGTCCTTGAGGTTCCGCATCCAGACAGTGTCCGAGACTGGAGAGAGCGGGACGTCTACAGTTTTGCTGCGTGCTTAGTCTGTTCGTGCCGGTGATGACATCCTGTACACTTGACAAACGTGTGGGCGCACAGGTTGCAGTGATCAGAGTGACTGCACGAGCACTTCAGATGTTTTCAAGAGTTCTATGTCCAAATTGTCCAACAGATCAAGTGGTTTTATTCTGGAGCAGTTGCAACTCCTGGGTGAACTTATCCGGACACCATTTTTCTCCCAGGTCAGCCGTGGCTGCATCTGTGCCCGATGCCCCTGTGGTGTCCATTGCAGGGACTCTTGGATCAGTCGGAGAGTCTGAGACGTACTCTGAGTGAGTTGGTTTCTGTGGGAGCTCATCCGCTTGATGTTGCCTTTCGTGGACATGCAGACCATGCAGACCATGCAGATCAGATTGGCCAGAGCATGCTCAAGAATGCTCAAGAGCAAGGAAAAAGAGGATGCCAGGTCCCAACACCGAAATGTCACGTCCCAACACCAGAAGTGTCCACGCCGCTTTTTGGGTGTTTGGCACTGGACCAGACTCCGGTCTCGTCCGCGCGCGCGCGATTTGCCCGAGGTGTCGACCTCCGACACGGCCTTGGTCTACAGCGCTCAGCTTTTGGGATCGACGGGTGGAACTCCCATCACGGGGTGGAACATCTATGCGTCGGACGACGGCATCACTTATCCAACCACACCGACAGCGGGCCACTGAGAGAAGCTTGTATCTTCGAAGCTGAAGAGAAGCAGTGCTTCACAATGCTTCAGAGCTGGTTGATGCTGTTTTGCTTTCTGTACTTGGAACTTGTTTGAAGAATCATGCTGCTTTGCTCAGAGTGAAATCATTTGTGCCTTTGAGCTTCTGAGCATTCTTCGAGGCAACCGAAGCGGCTGCTTTCACATCTTACTCATTAGACTGCACAAACTTTGGTGGCGTCAACCGTGGACAACAGTGACCTGGCATGTGTTCGGAGGTTTTGGTGGTGCAAGAGACCCTCTTGGGAATCCATGAAATCAGGTGTTTCATGTGCGACTCTGTGTTCAGGTCGTTCTGCACTGGGACATTGAACATGAACGACAAATCATCACACATCTGCTCAAATTCGTCCTGTTCCGGCTCATTTCAGACGCGAGGAAGACTGTTTGCCCCTAAGTAGCGTCCCTTGCAACTCCGTTGGAACACATGTCATGCGTCGATCTTGTTATTATAAGTTCAACATATATTGTCTATGCCTTTTCTATCAGTATATAGTATAACTTACGTCGTTTTTTCGCCAAACACGAGGTACTTCTGGGTGAAGATGACTGCTGTGAGCAGCGCGGGTGAGGGAGCTACGTCCTCTGCGGTGAAGAGCCGTTGCTCTGCGGCGTGGGGCCTTGGGCCTTTTGTGTCGGTCCTTTGATGTCCTTTAAGGGAATTGGTTGATTTCTTCATACCATTTTATCTACTTTGTTTTCTTTTTGATATCTTTTTTTCAACATCCATTTGTTGTTAATTAGAATATCTTTTTGTTTGTTTTTGGGGGAGCACTTTGTTTTCATGTGTTCCTCCTGTGGTGCTTTCACTCTTTTTTGGGAGCTCTCCTTCTCTAAGAGTCAGCGCTCAAGTATGCTCACATGCTTTCAATATTTTTTTCGCACCATTGGAATTCATTTTGGCAAGATGATATACAGAATCGGAGTGCGAGATGTCCACAATATTCCACATGTTTTCAGTATTTGGCCAAACCTCCGGTGATTTGGAATTCGAGGCACCTGGTACACCTGCCATTCCAAGCCTTGTCCAGCACCCAATTTGATAGCTTGGAAGACACTTCAGCAAAAGTTAGTAACATCAGACATGTGTTGATGTTGATGTGTTCTGTTTTCTTTTCGCGCTATCGAACAGTGCTTCCTTTCTTTTCGTGTTGTGGAGCAGACATGACCTGCATTCAGACTGCCTCCACCGCTACATCGATTACCATCAGCTTTGACACCAACGGCGATCGCCTGAGATGCCAAAGCCCGCCCTGCCCCGCTTCTTAAAGTAAGGTACTGCATGCTCCTAGCTGGATGGGATAGCTCACTCACTCTTCCGCTGATTTGGTTCCTAGAATGTTAGGGAAGATTAACAAACTTAAGACGTGTTCTTTTCCAGTTTTTTTTCTCATGATATAGTTCTTTTTGACCAGCCTTGTTGAGCTGTTCTCCAACCGTCCGATCGTGTGTTTTCGTGTTTTCTTTCCTTTCAGGCCTGAGCGGAGCATACCTCACTGGCTTCAAGGCCAACGTCGAAGCGGCCGAAGCGACAGCACCGACCCGGTGGGCGTTGGTCGGTCAGGTGTACACCGACGATGGGAACAATGGACCTTGGTCCATTGACACCATCACTGACACCACCCAGAGAACCTTCACCAAGTGCGCTCCTTAAACGGCCAGCCACACATGTGAGAAGCCACTCATCTTCGGAAAAAAAGGTGAACCACATGGCGCGAAGCGACCGACGACCGACTGCGGCTGAGGTATGGTTTGAGTGCTGGCTTGTCCTACCGATTCAAGGTGCAGGTTGGCCTGAAACGCCTTTCATAGCCGAAGGATGATGTGAATCACAGATTTCATGGCGGGGAATTCTGAGTTGGTGGCCGCAAAACTCTATTCACAAGGGAGGTCATGTCCAGACTAGTAGACTTTCAGATGTTCTTTTCTTCTTTAGTAGCGAAGAACCATCTCAATGAAAGAGATTTGGAAAGAATAGACTGACTAACTAGGTGTATTTCAATGAAACGCCTATGAAATAATGGAAGACTCTTGCACGGGGTTCTGGCCTGAAGTTCCACATAGGGTCTTGCATGACAAGGGAAGGCTTGCGATCTGAAATCATTTGCCATGTCTCAACGCACTCCAAGGGTGGGGGGTGGGGGATAGACATTGCACCCCATGGTTTTTGATGTCACCGTGGGAGGTCATGTCACCAAAAGAATCACCAGGGCCAGTCATCGCGGCAGCTCGTTTGTTACCAATTAGTAGCATCCTTGCTAATAGTAGTAATGCCCTTAGCTACTAGTAGCGATGCCCTTTGTTACTAGTAGTGTCCATGCTCCTAGTAGCGATGCCAGGAGCCCCGATCGTAGCGATGCCCTGTGCTCCGTTCGTAGCTTCTTGCAGGTGGTCTCCGAAGTTGGCACCAGCGCTGCTTCTCCCATCGCCACCTTTGTCTCTGCAGCCGCGACCCCAGTCGAGGGGTTCCGAAAAAAGTGCGCCAGAAAGCCCTGAGTTGTTCCATTTTTGCTTGCAATGTTGTTTGCTTTTTCTTGCTTTTATGATTGCTGTTGTTTTTCTGGTTGCATTTTATGATGGCGTTTTTTTTGCTCTTTTTTCAAGATGATAAACTTCTATAAAATAAAGAGGTCTGGCAGACACAAAATTAGATGCCTTTGGGGCTCAAAACCCTTGCACATCGGAACATGCAGCGGGTTCGCCGGGTTCGGGTCCAACACTAACTCTACCCGGCCCCTCCAAACTACCCTCTGTGTTTTGCTTGTGTTTTTTTTGGTTGCTTTTGTTTTTGCTGTTTTTTGCTTTCTTGGTTGCTTTTTGTTTTGCTGGTGTTTTTTTGGCTTGTTTTTTCCGCTTTTTCTCAGGTTTGTTGATTTCTAGAATAAAGCCACCTCTTGTGGACACAAATCTAATTCTGTCAGTGACTTTAGATGTTTCATGATGTTTCTTTGTATAAAGTAAGGGATTGGCAGGACACATGAGACACGATGCCATAACCATCGGCCAATCTTCATCCAAGGCCACTCCTGATCCACCTGTGCTTTCGGTGACTGTCTCCACCAACAACCAGATCGATCTGGCCTGGACACCAGGCAGGGCATAGCAGGGCGCTCGCTGGGTGGAGCTCGCCGCTGGGCGGGATGGAAGGGCTCCGCACAAGCGTTCACCATAAAACTGCACGAATAGGAAGCCTTGACCAAATAACAAAGCCAGTGTTGAACTGCCCAAAGCTTCAAATTGTTGTGAGGTCTATAATTAGTCTATATAGTCTATACAGGCCTGGAAGAGAGTCACTCTTGCCATTTATTTTTTCGAGGCTATCGGCCTCGCTTGAGGAAGAGTGCAGCTCAAGCAGCTCAAAACATGTCCCCAACACCTTCGAGCGTTTCCTTGCAGCGGCGCCCCATCGCACGTTGGGTAAATCCAGGTGCTGATGGCGGTTCTCCAGTCACTGGCTGGTTGGTCTACACCTCACGTGCCGGTGAACCCAGCCTAAGAACGTAAGATTGTTAGATATATGGAGTGCTGCCCTCCATAGGTAGTGTAGTGAAAGCCTAGTCCTTTGTCTTGCTGTGGAAGGGAGAAAGCAAGCAAGGAAGAAGACAGGTCAAAAGAAAGACGGACGAAAAGGACGAGGAATTTACACAGCAAGGGCATCGCTACTAGTAAGAAGGGCATTACTACTAGTAGCTAGAAGCTACTAGTAGCAAGGGTGTTGAACAAATTTAACACATCCAAGAGTTTTCAGTGACAGTGTCAGGTTTAAGTCCGAAGGCCAAGTCCTGATTGAACGGTATGGACATAAACAGCTATTATTTGGGGTATGTCAGACTGTCCCTGCAGCAAGAAGGGTAGCGGAGAGCAGGAGACATACCTTTTTGGGTCCATTTCGTCAAGCATTCTAGCCTTGCTGCCATCCTTTTGAAGGCCTCCCCATCCAGTATGTAGTTGTTTTCTCCTTTTGTTATTTGCTGACATAATTGGTTTCTTTCAAGTAACTAAGACCTTTCCTTGTTTATCATGTTCTGTTTTAGTATTTTTTTGTTAAGGTATTGGGGTTGACAGGCCGTTTGACCACTCTCAGAGCTGATCACAAGTGACAGTTCTTTTTGGTACGGACATCTGCCGTGTGCAGACGATGCCTTATTTTTGGTTGTCCAACAATGTGTGTTTGCAGAGAAGTTTGCAAAGAATAACGGAGACAACTGAGCCAGCTGAGCCTCAACCAGATCTCAGGATGGAATTACTTGGACGGCTGCCAGCAATCCTCAGTGGGCCTGCTGTTGAGAAACTACATGGTTGCCACCTGTACTACTTATGCTACTATAGAAGTATTACTTCTCGATACGAGCAAGAACGTTTTCCCACCCCCCTTCTACTTGGCTTGCCTTTTGAGAAGTCAAACGATGTCAAAGAAACAATATGGAAAGCATCGCTACCAGGAGCAAGGACGCTACTAGGGGCTCCTGGCATCGCTACGAACGGAGCATTCTTACATTTTCCAATCGGAGAGACACTCGTGGATCGAGTTCACACGCTTGGTGCAGGTACATTGTCTCCAGTGGCACAACATATACGCAAGCGCTTGACTGCACCTCGATGTTGAAGTTGTTTGGACTAGTTGGAGGCCATTGCTATTAGGTCGGAGGATATTGCTAGAAGGTTGGAGGCCATCGTTAATAGGTTGGAGGCCATTGCTATTAGGAATGACCGGAAGGATTGGCGTCCAGAGATTCGATGAGAGGTTTTGCACGGAATCATGAACAGCAGGTACTGATGTCTCCAAGTGGGACAACAACAATGTCCCTTGGATCAGAAATCAGTTCCAACTCCGCACCCGACGTGAAGAATCCGGCTCCTGGTCCGGTATGGTCAGCTACCTTCCTTTCGAAACCGAGGTGCAGCTGCAATACGTGTATTTGCGAGTTGGTACCCCAGCGGCGGAGATGTTAGCGATCACATTCCCTGGAACAAGAGAGCCTGGAGAACACAAGAGAGCAAAAAAGGTCCAGAGGTTACAGACAAAACAACAAATTAAAAGGTCTGGAGAAAAGAGGCCTGGAGCCCAAAGGTCTGAAGAAAACACAGAAGATAGGAAACAGAAGCAGTTTGTTTCTCCAAAGACACAACAAAATTAGGGGAAGCAAAGATAGAGAGTGGCAGAACCCTTTGAAGGGTTCTGTCCAGACTTTGGCGCACGAAAGCTTGCGTAACCATAACAAACCCTTTTCAGAGAAGAAGAACCTGAAAGGAGCAAGAACGCTACTAGGAGCAAAGGGCCTCGCTACTAGGAGCAAGAACGCTACTATGTTTTTTCCACATCAACATTGCAGCGGTGTTTGCAGGTGTCTGGTGTAAATGCAGCGGGCACCGGGCTTCCATCGAACTCTTACCGTTGGCGCTGCTCGGAGAAGCCAGGGGCACCAGCAGTACCAACAAAGGCAGGGGCAGAAGAATAGATGAGACGATCTTCAGAGCATCCTTGGAAAAAAGGCTATTGAAACGAACTACTACTAGCGATGGCCTCCAACCTAATAGCGATGGCCTCCAAGCTCCAGAGCCTTTTTTCGACTTCCTAAAAGGCCTGAGGTCACATGTGACTAGCTACTAGGTCCATCCTCAATATCCCTTCGTGTTGCCAGGTGTCCGGCACTTCGAGCTCTGTGACCATTTCGTGCCAACCTCGTGGAATGAGTTTTGCAAGACCAGTGCAAGGCATCCAGTGCAAGCGAGCAAGGCATCCAGTGCAGTGCTGATTCCCTTGTCCGGTGTTTTCCTTCGCATCGCTTTCTTTTTGAGGTATGTTCCAACCACGCTGAACAACGCCGTGCTCATGGGGTCAGCGACTCGTTGTCCGGTCTGAGCTGATGCGCAGCCCGGTTCCGTGCTGGGCCTTGCGCTGAAGATGGACAGAAAAGAAGAACCTACTTGCTATGACCTCCAACCTAGTAGCAATGGCCTTTGTTCAATTGCAATTGAATAGTTTGTTTGATATTCGGATACTTGGGTATGAATTTGGACAAGTCGACTGGAAAAGCTTTGATAGCTGGTCACTGCCAAATGTAATTATTTGAAACATAGATTCCCTCTATATTTGCAATTCATACTGTAAGTTGACACACCAGGCCTGGATCCTGTTTGGCTACCGAGCGGTATCCATGCCTGGCATTTTCATGCATTAAAGTTTCAGAACACTCATTGCATTTCTTTGTTTGCCCATGCTTTGGCTGGAAAGGCACACGTTTTCATCCAGTCATCGAGTAGTTCGGCAGTTGGAAATCATCCACCGTTCCATACTGAAAGCAGATCATACATCCAACGCGCGAACGTTTGGAAAACCAGGCATGTGCAGCATCTCTTTTCCTGCACTCGTTTCCAACAGGTCCTTTCCTTTCCAGTTTGAGACTGGTTTGACTAGCCATGGCAATGTCTATGCTATCCGCTCTTCTGACACTCTGCAGCTGTGTGTTGTGCTGGGTCTTATGCACAAGGTGGCTGTTTGTGATTACAATAATTCCAAATGGCCCAGCCAGTTTGCAATGCACTGGTGATGGAGAAAATTGTTTCGCGATTGTCCATTTCAGGGTCCTCCCGCAAGCTTGGTTGGTCCTCGTGATTGCAATGTTGCCATTCTGCAAACATCGCCTTCATTTCGGAATGCTGGCTTGCCATGTTTTGTGCGTTTTCGAAGTTGGACTGGTGGTGGCCATAGTCCTGGCTCGGATGCAGGCGCGATCTCCTTTCATGGTATCGATGGACCTGGAGGCAGCTGCGTCTGACCTTGGCCCCCTCATAGTCAGGCAGAACAACTGGGTAGCTGCAGTGGCGGCTGCAATCACGGAGGTCTTTTTTGCCGTCTTCAAGTGCCAGTGGCACGGGCTTCAAATTGTTGCAGGTCCGACTGAGGGAAGTCGGCCGGCTGTCCCAGAGAGAGTTTCGTCAGAACATTGGTTGGGGCCGCAATGTGCGAGGGAAGATTTATGCCCTCGCAAGGGACACGGTGTTTGCTGGCTTTGCGCAGGCGCGGTGGATTGTGGATCGAAAAACTGGCCATTGAAGAGAGCTTCCGACGCTGCGGGTTGTGTCGCAGATTCTTGGACCATGGCGCACGCTGCGGGCGTGTTCCGTTCGGCCAGCCTGCGCAAATCGGAGGCTGCTTGGACAGGCTTGGGGTTTGACACTATTGGCCGCAATGCTGAAGGTTTGAAATTGATGCAATGCCCCATCAGCGTTTTTTTGCATGGAAGCCCCCCGCAGCAAGAAGAACTGACCTCGAGCCAGCAACGTGAACCAGGCGAATCTCGAGCAGACGATCTGGAACGCACTCTCTTGCAGTTGCAAAGACGCTGCGAAGAGCTAGAGCAAAAAAAGCGTCTCCATGGCCCATCAATGTGAAAATCTGGATCGCATGCTTGCACAGTCGCAGAGGGTCGCTGAGGAGGCTCAAGCTCGGGCAGACGATCTGGAACACACTCTCTTACAGTCGCAAAGATGCTGTGAAGAGCTAGAGCGAAAAAGCGTCTCCATGGCCCATCAATGTAAAAATTTGGAAGGCATGTTTGCACAGTCGCAAAGGGTCGCTGAGGAGGCTCAAGCTCGGGCAGGGGGTTTGGAACGAATGGTCTTACAGTCGCAAAGATGCTGTGAAGATCTATAGAGCAAAAAAGCGCCGAAAATCTGGGACACCTCCTTGCACAGACGCGATGCTGTGAAGAGCTAGAGCGAAAAAATGTAGCCTTGGCCCACCAGTGCGAAAATCTGGAACATCTGCTTGGGCAGGCGCGAAGTGTTGCTGAAGCAGCTCAATCTCAGGCAGACGCTCTCGAACATATGCTCTTCCAGTCGCAAAGACGCTGTGAAGATCTAGAGCAAAAAAGCCTCGCAGTAGCCCAGCAATGTGAAAATCTGGAACATGTGCTTCTGCAAGTAACAACGCGACCTGGCTTTGAAGAGGCGCATGCTCAGGCAATTTTCAAGAAATATCTTGACCTCCGGGACTGGACGGCAGAGCAGCTAGTGAGACGAGCAGAAATTGCCGAGTTTCAACACTGGTCTTGCTGGCCCGCCGCACACATGTGGGCTTGCTGAGCGTGTGCAGACGGCGTTTCCTTAGTGGAAAAGTCAATCAGTTAGATTGCTTGCTTCTGTGGAGTGTCTGATCATTGTTGTGTGTTGTCCTTCACACATATTGGACCTCGCACATGCCCATGGCAATGTTCCAGCGAGATGGTTGGGAGAAATTGGCAAAGCCATTGCTGCAAAGGTACATTGTCATGTACGACGATGGCTTGAATGGCGCCTTCAACGAGGCCACCCCGCACAGTGTCAAATGGTGTTCAACCTGTTGATGGAAACAATTTCTTCGGGTGTCTTGCGCCCTCTTAGGTTGGAGGCCATCCCTATTAGGTTGGAGTTGGAGGCCACTGCTAGTAGGCTGGAGGCCATCGTTCTTAGGTTGGAGGCCACCTCTTTGTGTCCCTTTAGTTGTTGTTTTTTCCCTGCCCTCTCCCTGCCTCCTCCTTTGTTCCTGTCTCCTGGCCCTCCCCTCTCCTCCTTTTCTTTCTTATTTTTGTTCCTCCAGTGGACACATGAGGCAATCACTTCATGTGAGCTCATGTGAGTTGAGTTGGAGGTCTATGTGACTTCCACCTCACAGACAGAGTACACTGCAGCCGGTCTCACGGCTGGCTTGGACTATCGTTTCAAGATCAAGGCCTGGGCCGGTTGCGATTCGATCCCGGAGGTGGTTTTTTGACCGCAAAAGTCCCAAAGTTGGAGATGTGAAGCAACGAAAACAACTAGGCATCGCTACGAACGGAGCAAAGGGCATCGCTACTAGGAACAAGAAACTACTAGGGCTCCTGGCCATATTACTAGGAACAAGGAGCTATTAGAAACTGTTGGTGGTCGGGCATGTTCCTCACCCAAGTAAAACCCTCTCAAAACAACCCTCAAGACAACGCAAAAAGGATGCTCTGCTTTTCTGCTGACTTCGTGGTCTTGGTGGGGTCTTCTCGCCCCGTTGAGGTGTCTTGACCTCAACTTCATCTAAAAGGGCTGCAAAGACATGCAGCATGCAAAAGCGTGTCATCCTTGTGCAGGGGTCATGCATCAACACTCCCCCTGTCTTCCTTGAAGACATCGTGATGCCATGCTCCTCACCACACGAGTACTCCAGGTCTAGGACCCTTCTTCCAACATGTGTGATGAGGGCAGGCCTTCCATCAGCTCAAGCCCCATTGGTTGACAGCTTCTTCATCTGTCAGTTCAAAGGCCAACCAGGCCATGTGGCAGCAAGATGAAACCAACAATGCCCATGCATTCGTTGAAAACAGTTGTACTGTATCCTGCAGGCCATTAGCCCAGTGTGCACCCCATTCTTTTCTTTTCTCCTTTCTTCATCAAAACCGTAATGCCAACAGGCATTTGCTTCACCACAATGGCCAAAATGGCCTTAGGAAGGTCGCCAAGCGCAACTAAAGGCGGCCCCCTTTTCTTCCCTTCCATCACTTTCCTTCACATATTGAGCTCCCGTTCTCGGAGCTCTTGCAGGCATCGAACACATGGGGCATACTTCTTCTCAGCTCCAGTTGAACATGCCGGTGGTCTGGCAGCATCCACATGGTAGATCTCGCCCCATCCACGAGACCAAAGGTGTTCACCTCTTCGGACATGGGCCATGTCGATGGTGAAGGCGCAACGGTGGCATGGAGGTGAGGTCCGGAGCACGGATGAGGTGAGCGTAGGGCAAGAAGTGAAAATATGGTACTTCTGCCCATACTTGGTGATGTAAACACCCATCCCTTGGTACCTCCGGCCTCCATCCCCGATTGGCGGTTCGCCATCACGCTGAAATGCCCTGGGGCATGCCTTTGCAGCCGCTTCTGAAGGACCTGTCGGTCTCGGTTGAGGTGGTGTTGGATCCCATGCTTCATCGGCCATCATATCACGGTAATCCCTCTCTGTAGGGTGGTAGAGAGTCTCATCCTCATTGGCCGGAGACTCTTGTGGTGGAACATCGGGTGGTACTTCATGATCGCCAGCAGGAATCTCCTGCTCAGGCTCTTCTTGGATGCCAGTGAGCGTGACATCCGATTGAGGCTGGGAGGCTTGTCCGGATGAGCTCGAGGTCGGAGGTATGCCAGCCTGTGCCCTCTCTTCGGGAGTGAGAGAGGAAAGCCATCGCAGCAACCATTCACGGTTCTGCAATCCAAACTGGCTTCTCTCTTCAGCTGTCATGGGGCGCGCTGGACCATACGCCCAATCAACAAGTTCACCATCTTGAGGATCTCCTTTGCCCTGCCCCTTTCCTTTTCTCTTTCCTTTTGATCTGGCACTAGGCCTATTGACTTCCCGGCCTTGCCAGTCAACGGTGATGGAACTTCCCTGGGATTCCGAAGTAGAACTACCAGGTGGGCCAAGTGCCGGAGGCTCATATTGTTGACCAGCAGCAGCGTCACCATCATTGATAGCTGGTGCCAGTAACCAAGCACAGAGGCGCCTGAAAAACAGGGTGGCTAAGATGACAAGGATGGTGTACAGCATCATGAACATTTGAAGCGGCTCGGAACCAGCTTGGTCAGAGGGATTCTCATCTTCATCACTCTGATTTCCTTGGACCCTTGATTTGGCGATGAGTGCCATGAGCACCGCCAGCTGCAACTGTCGGCCGCTGTAGTTCATCATCTTTTGCATTCCTTCATCTTCCTTTCTTCTTTCTTCGCTTACTGCCTCTGGGCCATCCTCCTTTTCTTCCTTTTCTTCACTTGTCGCCCCTGGGCCTTCCTCCTTTTCTTTTCTTTCTTTACTTGTCGCCCCTGGGCCATCCTCCTTTTCTTTTCTTTCTTCGTCCACCTTCTTCTGCAGGACCATGGACATCAATTCTTTCAGCTCCATAGTACGCTGACTCGAAAGGGGCTTCGTGCCAAGGTCGGCAATCATGATGGCGCCAGGCATGTGTCTCACTCGCCAGTCGAGGTTGGTGATTCTCCAGCGAACATGTTGTGCCCTCAGCCTCAAATGTCTGGTGCGCCAGTTGGCATGGCCATCGGAGAAGAACCCAGTGGCCGCAAGGTTGTCGACAAAGAGGGTCTTCACGTAGGGTTCCTCATGCTCTTGGATCATGCTATCAACTGCATCACCAGTTTGGAGCCCTTCGATGGCTTCCAGCAGCTCCGACTCGGCAGTGGACAAGGCCGGAAATGGTTGGCGCCCGCTTTTCCAGAACATCAGCGCTCCATTCCACAACACCATCACAGCGCCATGGGATGCCTGGGTTTCCGGCGACGCTGCAAAGCTTGAGTCCGTGTAGACCTCCAATGACTTTGGTCCTCCATCCCATCCTTCTCCTTTTCCAGGAGGGAACTCAAGTCCTTCATTGGGAGTTGACTTCAAGTACTTCCAGACTTGGGTGGCTTGTTCAATCACCCAGGATGGATGTGGCAGAATTTCTTGTGCACATCGACTCGTAGCGAATGCTACATCAGGCCTTGTACGAGTTGACAACCACATCAGTTCGCCAACGAGCTTCTGGGCTGCATTGACCAACCCTGGAGTAGGCTCTTCTGGCATCGGAGCAGCATCCTTGGACATAGGGACCTTCATGTTCTTTGTATCTGGAATCCCTTCTTTGTCCTTGATGTAGTCTTCTTGCGATGCCCGATATCCTCCTTCGACTGTTTTGGTGATCTCCATGCCCAGGAACTTGACCTTCTCCTTTCCCACTTCTTCAGGTGTGGAGGTCTCCCATTGGGCCTGTAGAACTTGGATCACCTGGTCGACGGTCTTCTCATCACTTGTAACCATCAGGTCATCAACGTAGACCAATAGGAATCCAACCATCTTTTCTTCACATTCTTCATCTTCACCATCACCGAGCATGATGCTCCATAGATTAGGCTCAGCTTCGGCCTGGACAAAGCGATGTCCTTGTGGTGAGGTCAACTTCCTCAGCACCTGGTCACGGTAGACCCCCCAACAGCGCGGAGACTGGCGGAGACCGTACATAGCCTTTTGAGCCAGGTAGTAGTCCTTGGGCCCCACATGGCCCGTCTTCAGAAGAAGGGATGGTGGCTTCAATACCACCACGGTCGGCTCCTGACCTTCAGCTTCGATGTCCAGCGGCGCATTGAGGAAAGCTGTTCGAATGTCCAGCACTGATGCCTTCCAGCTCTCTTCAGCTGATCAGCTGATCGCTTCAGGACGTAGCGAAGGCGAACGGCGTCCGCACCTGAGGCGTACAGGCATTGATCCTTCTGTTCCGCTGATGCTGGGTCAACGAAGTTGCCGCAAGCTACCAGTCTGATCTTTCTTCTTGGACCCGGCTTCAAGGTGATCACTACCTTCGAGGGCAGCGCCTCCAACTTTCTGCCCCACTTTTCTTGAAGGGACTTGAACTCATCTTCATCGATCCGGCGGAGGGCCTTTTTCTCCTCGAACAACTGGTGAAGCTCTTTCCGGATTGCCTCATCCCATTGTGGAGCTTCACGAAGGAGTTCTTTTGGGGAGACCACCCTGGTTCGAAGAACTGGTTCCTCCTCCTTGGGCATAGCGCTCTTAACCTTCTTCAGCTCCTCATAGACGACGTCCATGACTTTCATTTCATCCTTGAGCATGATCACGCTTTCCTCCAGGACGATGTTGGAGATCCTTTCCAGGTGTCGTTCTCTTTCCTCCTCAACCACTTCATATTGATCTTCTTCCAACTTCATACTTCTAGCTCCCATTTTTCCTCGGATCCTTCTTCTGACTTCATAGGGACCCTCAGCCTCCTCAGCGGCCTTTGTGACAGCCATCCAAGTTGATTGGCTCGGCTCAGGTTCCTGGGTCTTCATGATGAAGTACGGGACGATCGCCGTGGAGCCATTGTCTTTCAACACCAGGTGACCATGAGCATCGGGTCTTGGAGCGAGGTATCGAACCTTCTCATGGGTCGCCTCCAGTTCTTTTGTCTTCCAAAATCTTCTTTTGACCAGGAGCTCATGACCAAATGGCGGGACATCCCCTAGATCAAGATCGGCCATGCGTCTTCGCTCCCGCTCGTGGACATAGTGGCATGCTTGAGGCCATCGATTCGCCGGCGTACCAGCCATGCCAAGAGCCCGACGGATGTGGGACTTCACTGTTTGGATCGCTCTTTCCGCACGTCCATTAGACTGAGAAGAGACTCCCGCCGTTGTAGTGCGATGGATGTCCCTTGAGCGACACCACTGGGTGAGGGATCTTCCTCTGAATTCTCCCCCGAGATCAGTGTGAAGCCTCGCCACGTGGTAGCCCATCACCCTGAGCTGGATGTACATTTGCTGGATCGTGGACAGCACCGTCTTCTGATCCTTTGAGGCCATCGGAATGGCGAGCCTGAAGGTGATCAAGTCGGGGTTCTCTTTTTCTTCAACCTCTTCAACTTCCTTCATCTCCTCACCTTGTTCGCCTTCTTCTGCCCCACCTTCTTCTTCATCATACTTTTCGTCTCCTTCCTCCTCATCTTCTTCTTCAAGCCGCACTTCATCAGAGTCGGCAAGTTCATCATCAGGTACTGGTGGATGCTGTTCCTGAGGAAGAAGCCAGGTGTAGGTGCCAACGAGGATGTACTTCATCAAGTCCTTACCATCTTTGGCGACAGGATATGGACCAGCAGTGTCCAGTGACAACGTCGCTGCCAGTGGGTGTGTGACCTTTCGATGCGGTCGGGACTTAGCACTTTGCTCCTGGCAGATTCGACAATCTCTTCGGAAGGGCACGTGACCATTTTGACAGTGCTGCTCCCATGTCATCCTTTTTAGCTTCGGTTCCTCCTCCACATTTCCATTGATGTGGAGAGCACATGCTTCAGCGACGGAACGACATAGTCCCGGAACCCAGCGAGCAAGTGAGGACGATGGAACCTTCTGACCTTCTCCTCTGCTCTTCGATCCAGGGTTTTTTCCTTTTGGTAAGCGGAGCTCCACATTGGCAGCCAGAGTTGTAGGCTTCACCGGAGCATCCTCCTTCCAGGGTTCATAATCTCCCTGGTTCAAGTGGTGGACTTGTAGATGAGCGACACCCTGAAGCTTCTTCCATGGCTTCGTACTCCAGAAGGAGACACACGAGGGCATGTAGTCCTTAGGATCGGAAGGCTGCTCTAGCAGAAACATCACCTCCTCTCTTTTCTTCTTTTCTTCATCTTCATCTGTTGAATCCTTCAACTTGGCAGCCATGTCCGCGACCAGGAAGAGAAAGATCTGACGCCACATCAGGACATCATCTTCTTGACACATAGCCATCTCTTCAGGGCTGTAGGCACTGATGCCCCATGGCTCCTCCCAGGATCTTACAGGTCTCGGACCACCAGGATAGTGTCGCAAAACTGATCGGGTACGACAGTTGGGTCCTCCAATTACCGCCGCCAAATCCCCATCCAACGCCAAACGAAGCAGGCCTTTGTAGGCCTTCGAGTCCAGGGATGCCATATCGTGATCATCACCCCTCTGTAGGTCCACCTCCAAGGTACGGCTTCCCAAGCCATGCTCTTCCATAGCCTTTTGCAGAGTGAATCCTTCACGTTTTCCAGCGTATAAATGCAGGATCACCGAACCAGCTGCCTTCAACCGCTTTCGTTGATGTCGGTTGGCAGGGAGGTCCTTCCACTCCCCCGGTTGTTGGACCAGGGCCTTCTTGACATGTTCGGGAAGTTCTGCCAAAGCTGGATGGCCTTCGACCAGTGACTTCATCCACTCCACCTCCCGTTCAGGGTGTACTTCACCCACCAAGCGAGCTTGCTTTACCTCCTGGGCACGATCCTCATACTCCTGGATGAGCTCGAGGGCCAGCTGCTTGGGGATTTGTGGACACCCCGCTTGGATGCTGATCGGCAGAGATCCTTTTGTGGGATGGGCGACTTTCGTGCCATGTTTCTTCCATGAAATCTTGCATCCTCCTCCCGCCAGCATTCCAAGGGGTACTATTGGTTCCACTTGTAGATTTGTTGAAACCATCACCCCCGACTCAGTCATCAGCAGAGGTGTGGTGCGGCCATCAGCCAAGGACACAGAGACCTTCTTGAACTTCTCGAGGCTGTCCGTAGACGTAAGAGGCCTCAGGGGATGCGTAGCACCAGAGTCCAAAAGTCCCCATTCTTCTTCTTGCAAAGACCCCATCTTCGCTTCGCGAACGCGGGTCAGCTTCAGGGTTTTGATGCTTTTCTTGATCTCATCGAGCTGCTGATGCAATCTGCTCAGCTTGGCTTCCGAAGCTTCCTTGTCCTTCATCGCCTTGAGCATCTTGTTTGCCTCAGCGAGAAGTTCATCCATCTTTTCATCATCTTGACCTCCACTTCCTTTTCCTCCTTCCTCGCCTTTTGGATCCTTCTCTTCTTCTTTCTCCTTCTTAACCTTTGGTGGCGAGTTGGGAGCAGTTCCACCTGAGTTCTCCTTCGTAGGGCAGGTCGGAGCTAGGTGTTTCGTGGAGCCACATAGGTAACACCTTTTCTGTTCATCCTTTTGGTCATGCGACCATTTGCAATCACGGCCACGACGACATCCGGCCTCGCTGAGGAAGAACTTGCACGGTAACTTGACCTCCACCTCCTTCAGCTTGCCTTCACCCCCTTTGGCCTTTCTGTTGATCTCCTCCATCTTCTTTACTTTACTTTCCTCCTTCTTCGTAGTTGCACCACTTCGCTTCTCAGCCAAGGAGAGCTGTTCGATCTCGGCAATGAGATGGGTGGCGAACTGGCTGACCGAGAGCGCATTGGGATTGGTGTCAACTTGGAGGGCATTCCGAGCAAGAGACACCCGGAACCGTAGACTTTCATTGCCATCCAAAACTCGCTTCGTCAAGCGATTCAGACCCTTGACCAGAATGGACGGGTCGGGTTCGGTGGCTCCAATCTCCTGAGCCCTTGCACGCCAGCGAAGCCATCGACGGAGGCCAACCACCGTGTCGCGCAGATTTCCTGGTTCCGTTGGATCTTCAAGGTTCCGCAGGAGCATTTGTTTCTCGCTTATGCCACCAGGACAGTAGGTGACGTGAAGATGGGCGAGGATGGCGAACACTGACAACCTTTTTGTAGCCACCAGTTCATCTTTCTGAACTTCTGGAATTGCCTTCAGCAACAGGGTGGCCATTCGCCGTTCGAGCTTCGCCCATTTCGGAACACTGAGTGATGATGGAGGCACAGGCTCATGCTTGACCCGTTCCAAAGGAGCCATTGCTTGGTGGTCCTGGTACCACTTCTCAACCTCAGTCATCATTCGATCCCACCAAATGTCAGAGGTGGTCGTCAGGTCAGCCACCACAGGCTGAACAAGGAGCAGCCAATCACCAAGCTGCAGCTGCGAGGTGGAACCATGTAGAGGATGTAGAACAGGTAGTTCAGCCACCTGCCGGACAATCTCCACCCCCTTCACCGTTCCTTGAGCTTCTTGTCCCTCGGAGATCTGTCGTTGGAGGGACTTCATACTTTCCACCAAAAGTGTCATCACTTCCATCTGTTGAACTTCAGGGGACAATTTGGCTCCCCCGGTTGTAGGTCTAGGCCCCTTCATTTCCCCTTTTCCATAGGATGGACTTCGACCCTTTCTCTGTTGTTCTTTGGAGCGGGACCTGGAACCTTTGACCCCATAGCGAGCCGGGTAGGTCGACCACGGTGTGCGTCCTCGGGCATGTAGGTCGTCGGCTCCTGGAACCCCATTCGGCCCCTCTTCATCAGGGGTGTTGAAGTTGGAGGCACTTCTTGGCCTTTCCATTTCTTCCCTTTCCTTCTTCTTCTTTTCCTCAACCTCCAACCTCTTTCGGTCTTCCCCCTCAATCCTCCATTCATAGAGCTCTTGCTGGAGGCGATCATTTTCACGTTGTTGGGCCTGGCAAAGGTCAGTGAGCCGTTGCACATCCTGTGAGATCTGCCAGCGCCACATGATTTCTTCCTCTTGGTCTTCCCGTTCTCGATCGCGACGGGTCCTTCGAGGATCGTTGGAGCTCTCCTCGCATCTTCTCAGCTCCTCACTTTCTTCTTCTTCCATCTCCACCACCCTTCTATACCCTTCTTTCTTACCTCCTCTCTTTCCTTCCCTTCTTTCTTCTTCTTCTTCCAGGAAGGCAGGGCGAGACACCTGAGTAGGCCGATCATCACCTGAAGAGGACGGCATCAAACCTGGGCCAAAGAGCTGGGGAGCAAGTCGAGCCGATGCCTTAGCTTCTCGGATCTGTTCCTGAGTGAACAGGGGCTTCATGACCTGCGGTGCTGGTGGTGTCAAGGGAGCAAGAGTTGTAGGCATCCCTCTTGGAGCTTCGACCACACTTTCTTTTGACCCACCACTCTTAAACACCTCCATTTCAGTCCTCCCTGTTCCGGTGTTCCCCGGCCCAGTTGTCGAGCGAGCCGGGGTGCTGAACTCCTTCTTTTCATCTTCTTCCTTCTTTCCATCACCATCCACAGCCGCAGCTTCTTGCTTCGGCGCCAGCTCATCGCTTCGCGGCTCAGCAGCAGGTGGCGGCAAGGCCAAGCGTCCATCGTCAAGCTCCATGGTTCGTCGCCGTCGGAGCATGGGCGGGTGATGAAGGGAAGTAGATTTAGCAGTTGGGCTCATAACCTGTTGGTGGTCGGGCATGTTCCTCACCCAAGTAAAACCCTCTCAAAACAACCCTCAAGACAACGCAAAAAGGATGCTCTGCTTTTCTGCTGACTTCGTGGTCTTGGTGGGGTCTTCTCGCCCCGTTGAGGTGTCTTGACCTCAACTTCATCTAAAAGGGCTGCAAAGACATGCAGCATGCAAAAGCGTGTCATCCTTGTGCAGGGGTCATGCATCAACAGAAACAATACATAATTAAAGTAATTAGAATTAAAACAGAATCATCCAAACGGCCAAAGAGCAGGAAGTCTGGGCATTCCAACGTGCACAAGAGGGGGGGTCCATGGCAGACATCCTCCACACTTGACACAGCAACAGCTTGTTTTAACTCAGCTACCCACCTACTCAGCCACTCAGCCCTACCTTACCTACTTCATTCATGACCCACGCACTGCCAGGCACACAACACAAAAGAGAAGAGTATTTGTTTCAATGAGGTTGAAGGCCATCGCTACTAGGTTGAAGGCCATCGCAAGTAGGTTGGAGGCCATCGCAAGTAGTTTTAGTTTCAAAGAGATTTCTTCCTTCTTCAAATTGAGGTGGTCTCAGAAGTGGGGCAGAGCGATGCGTCTCCTGTTTTGACCGTCACCGTAGGCTCGGGCATATGGTTTGGGAACGTGGGAAACGTGTGAACATGCGAGCAAAACAAGCACATAAACATTAAACAGTGTGTCGTGAAACAGTGTTTACCAAAGACACATTTAAAAAAACTTCAACAAGACAATGACAAGATGGAGGAATAGCCGTCTCGCTGGCCTTTCACTTTGACTGATGTGTTTGGGATTTGTCGCGTGTCCAACAATCAGAGAATGAATTTGATTCTCTTCCAAGGCCAAGTTAGAATAACCCATTCTTGGGGTGTGTGCTTTTGATTTCTCTGCATTCTCCAATTGCTGATTGTTGGCAGCTTTGCTCAAGAGAAATAGCAAAGAGCACATGTGGAAGTCAGAGAACATACCAGCAATGGTTCGATGTCAGTTTCAACAGCCCTCAGCAAGAAATTCACTCTGGATCATCGCTTGGATCGTTGTGTCATGGCGAAGAGAGGCAGATGTCATGTTGGATGCTCATGTTTGTCAGCGATGCCTCTTTTTCTGTTCTCATTGTGCCCTCCACTGAAAGCAACACATTGAATCGTCGGACCCCTGCATTAATGACAAAGCATGGCAAGGCGATGTTTCATTAGATGGTGAACTTGACCCTCTTCAATGAAAGTTTGCCTGTTCTGTCAGGCCAGTCTGGTGGTGGTGGAACTAGTATTTTCAATGGTGGGAAGCGGCCCGGATCTGAAGCGGCCCGGATCAATTCCGGTTCGAGGCCGGATCGACGCTCACGTCGAACCCAAGGCTGGGCAAGAAAAAGAAGAACAGGACGGAGTCGAAGACGGGTCATCGATTCGACGCTCGACGCCAGACGGTGTGTGGCCAGGTCGGCCGTCGTCTCGCAGGACGGCAAAGCGAAATGAAAAGGAGGCGAAGTGAGACGAAACACGACGGCACGATGGTGGAGCTTAAGTATCGTCTTAAGTGATGGTTTTTGTTCTTGCGCCTCACGTGATGGTGAGGCACTGCATCGGCAAAAGATGGCCCAGACGCAGGGCAACGTGAAAGCAAAAGTTGCTCAAGCTTGAGTTGGGTGGGCATAGTATTATAGCTATTAGTAACAAGGTCATCGCTACTAGGGGCTCCTGGCATCGCTACTAGGAGCAAGGATGCTACCAGGGGCTCCTGGCCGTACTATTAGGAGCAAGAAGCTACTAGGAACCAAATCTTTAGAGTATGATGAGTTGAAACAGTTGAAACATAAACGGGGTCATGTCTGGAGGAAAAGAACGAAACACAGAAACCAAAAGGCCCTCAGGAGGGGGCAGCGAAGCGCGAGCTTTCCTGCGTCCTGCTACTAGTTACTAGTAGCATCTAGTAGCTACTTAAGCAAAATGGCTTACTGGCTCCTTACTTAGCTACTACTTGTGCTTGCTACAGCCTAATCCCCTAAAAAGAAGGAAACAACAAATCAGGAAGTCCGACTTTCAATCATTGTTCGACTGTTGAAAGCTGCTGGAGGTTTGAGAGTCTGTCTCAGAGCTAGGCTCAACATTCGTGAAAGTGACGAATAGTCAGTGAGTTGTCATGGGAGTTCAACATGCATGTTTTGCTCGAAAACGGCTAACACACTCAGATAACGTGACGGATACAAGACGGATGTGAAAAAGGAAGAAGACCGTCGCTCATGTAAAGAAATGCAATCCAAACTTTTAACATTATTCTTATTTATGTTTGCCAGATCGTTTCGCAGATTGAATGCTAAACGAGCAAACATGTATGTTCCAAGGCTTCCGCAAAGGCGTCCCCCAAGACGAAGCCAAAAGGAACAAAGGTGTCAGACTCTCACGTGATCATTTGGTGCCAATGTCTTCAGAATTGCAAAAGCCTTTTGAGGTCCAAATCTCCAAAGCAATCTCCCAAGGCACCGTTTTTGTCTCACTCCACTTGGCTCATCACACCAACCGCTCTCCGATGTCAGGTGAAACCAACCCCGATGAGCGTGGATTCGTAGCGCGGTAACCGGCCGCGTGGCCTCGGCAACCGAGGACGACGAGACGGGCGGGACGGTTCACTGCGTGCGCAAAAAAGGGAAAAGAGGAAAAGAGCAAGACATGTCTTTGCAGAGCTGAAGACGTGTCGAAGCTGAACACAGACATAACTAGAAAGCTTTATGTTTACGTTCGTAGCGATGGCCTCAAGACAAACTTGCAGATCCGATTTTTGCAACTGAACAAATGTGTGAACTTAGTTGTGTACAACTTGTTTGAGTGCAGATCAACGACGACGCAGGTGCAGATGCCGATCCACCAACGGCACCACATTACATCTCTTCGTCCAACAACAATCAACTCACCGTGGCTTGCTGAGAGATGGAACACATAATTGAAACCTGATTTAGAATGAATTGACTTTTAATTTGGAATTCTAATTCTTGCTTCTGATCACGATATTTGCTGTTAGCTGGTCCAAACGAATGGCTGATAGGTAGTAGAACCACGGCGAGTCATGACAGTATCACAAACCTGTCTGGAAAGCGGGGGAATTTGAAGCAGGATGATGTGGAAGAGACTTGTCAGAAGACTCTTTACTTTACTAGGAGCGATCGGACGCTACTAGGGGCTCCTGGCATGGCTACGAAAGGAGCAAGAATGCATAAGAATGCTACTAGTAATGCCCTTTACTTTTTTTTTCGCTCCCTGCGACCTCAGAGACGTTTCTCGCTCCCAAGGTGGGATGGACCTTCCCAGGCCGGGATGATCATAGAACAGGTTTAACATATTTGCCTTTCTATTTCTACACATGTTGTGTTTATTTTGTTTGTGTTTAGATATAGTTATTTTTGTATGGGTCGCCAGACCTCAAATCTTAGTCGGGCTCAGGCTCTGATGGTGGTGTGCCCATCACTGCTTGGTGTGGCTCCCAGATATGTAGATGCTAGTGTCTAGATGCCTGCATTCTCCTTGCTGTGTGCGTAGCCTGTGTGGGTGAACTGGGGATGGCAGATCAGACAACCCTCGAAGCTATTCGTAAAGCTTGTTTAATATATGATGCGAGTGAAATCAGTTCTGATCACAACTAGCTGTAACTAGCTTGAGTGGTATCTTGATCTCGTAGTCATTCTTGTAGAACACTTTTGAATAGGAGCAAGGACGCTACTAGGGGCTCCTGGCCTTACTACTAGGAGCAAGAAGCTACTAGGGGCTCCTGGCATCGCTACTAGGAGCAAGGACGATGTTGAGTGTGGAAGACGGATGTTGGAAAGACCATTGGAGGAAAATACCCGGTCTGAGGAATGTCTATTATGCCATCGGCTATGCTGAATCCAACTGGCCTGACGTATCGCTACCTTCCACAACGACGGCAGTGGGTCAACTTCCCAGCTGAAGCTGTTTAGGAGCAGTTCTGAAAACAAGTAAAAAAGAACAAACGAGAGATTTAAGTGCTTCCGTAACTGTAACGCACAAAATGGTCGATTGCTTACAGGTTGAAAGGCTAAAGCTGTTGTATGCTGTTGTCCTCCTCTCTTTGTTTTTTCTGGAGCCGCTCTCTTTGTACATTGGTTTGGAGTTGATATAATTGAGGCACGCTTCAAGTCATAGTGGATTGCACCAACATTGGAGGCATCAAGTGCATCAGTGCATGTGCGCAAGTGCATCAACTGTCAGTTGTTTTTGTGATTTGCGCGACCTGCCCCATTGAGCAGGTGCTGATCGGTCGCTGGATTTTGTCTACTTTAGAGTCCATAGCTAAGATGAGTTCTAGAGGAAGAGGCAGGAAAAGAACCGCAAAGACAAGGTCTAAAGGTTTGAAAGGCAAACAAGAAAGTAGTATTTACAACAACACCGAATAGATCTTTATATAACATGTTTATGTTGAATAATTCCAGAGCAAGTCCTCAAACGAATCTAGTATTCTTGGGAGCACTGAAGGTGGCTGCTGTCACTGGTGCTGGCGTTGGGCAGTGCCCTTGTCCATATTTGAAGTGCATCCCTGGCGTTGGGCAGCTGAATTCTGTGGCAGGTATTCACCGAAATCACGGATGTTTTGTGCCAACAAGCCAGACGCTCCAACGGTGCTGGCGACTGAGATCGCTATACACTTCCAAAGGTTAGGCGTCCCTTTTGGGCTGTTTAAGTCCATCATAGGCCATCGCTAGTAGGTTGGAGGCCATCGCTTTTAGGCTGAAGCCCATGGCCATTAGGTATGCTTTTGTACTCAGGACTGATGCTTTCGTCGGAACGCCCAACTCCGTCCGTGCCTCAATGCTCATCCAACGCAGGTAGGTTGGGAGTTTCTTCAGTTGTGACCTGCCTGCCGGCGCATGAGGTCACCATCAACTTCATGGAAGGCTGCAAGACTTTCATGAGCTCTTTCGGCCTAACTGCACACCAGAGGGTTTGTCATAAGGAATTCATGACGAGGAATACACCCATAAGCCCAAGATGTGTGATCTTGAAACTCTCTCTTGGCTTTGTGTTTGAATGCTTAGTTTGATCTCGACAGGAACCCTCAATAGCGCTGAGCTTTTGGCTTTCAAGGCTGGGAGTATCAAGCCGTTGAAGAGTTGAAAAATTAATTTTTCCGCAGCGTCCTTGCTACTAGTAGCGCCCAGTGCCTTACTTGTAGTAACAAGCTACTAGTAGTAAGGCACCTTGCCACTAATAGCCTCCTTGCTACTAGTAGCGTTTGCCTTATAAGTGTAGGTGTTCAGTCAGTGCCCTTTGGAGGTTTACATGAACGATGGCTTGGGCGGGGCTTTGTCCTACCGAGGAAAGGTCACAGACACGTGAAAACCCCAATATCCAGCTTTGTGAAGAAGCTTTGCGCTTTCGTTCTTAGTGTTGTTGTGGTAGTAGTAAATAGTAGTATATACATAGGTATAGTCGTAGTCGTGGTCGTCGTAGTCGCAGTGGTAGTAGGAGCAGTAAAGTTGCTGGCACCCTTCACTTTTCCACTGAGACGTTGAGATGTGGGTATTGGCCCAGAGTCCTCATTTAAGGTCCTATCGTTATTACACAGCCACCGGCCTGGTCACTGACCGAACCTATTTGGTGGAGGCACTGTCGAAAGCACCATCAAGCAAGATATCAACATGAAGAAAAACCATTGAAATACCATGTATCAGCATCTAGAGCTGCTGGCAGCTGGCAGCTGCTGGCTGATAGCTGTTCCATTCCTGTTCGGCTTGGTAGGTCACCGTGGTGAGCAGTGTGGGCGAGTCGGACCGTAGCAGCGTGATGTCGGTGCGCGCCTGTGGGGCGCCCTCCAAGCCGGCAGCTCCGGTGTGGAACTCGGTGTGGAACAGTCAGAGGACGTTGTTACGAAAGAAGCGAACGTAGTAACAAGTGCCACGCTAGTAGTAACAGGTGCCTTACTAGTAGTAACAAGAAGCTAGTAGGAACAAGTGCATCGCTTCTAGTAACAGGTGCCTTACTAGTAGTAACAAAAAAGCTATTAGAATTAGTCAATGGACTTTGTTACAGTACATGCTTTACTTCACAACTTGCTTGACTTCACATGTGTTCGAGGCCATGTCTAGTAGGTTGGAGGCCATTTCTAGTAGGTTGAAAGCCATCTCTAGCAGCATCG